CTTGTAGTGTTCGTAGACGTTGCAGCTGAGTGCATTCAATAGAGAGATGTTTTCTTTTGTTGTATATTGACATGACTTACACGGGTCTATGATTCCAGAATTCCAGTCAATATTTCAGACTTTCCTTTTCATTTCTACAATTAATGTAGTTTATATCAATTAAAATATAGAAGGAGCGAATGGTGCATTGATTTACTTCAACCTTTTAACATTGAAGTTATATCCTCAGATTGTTTTCTTCTTTGCAACCAATTTCCTTCCACTCTTTTGCACTAAGGGTCAATTACGATTTACGATTCAGTTTTAAATAAGGAGCCATGCATCTTAACTCTAACACGGTTGTCCCTCTTTACCCATTGTACCAGGTTCTTTTGCCCAAGATCTTGTCGAATTGTAAATTGCTGGTAAAGTTATCGGGGATCTTCTCACAGATGTCTCAAAGATAACCAATTACTCAATTTGATGTCGAGAGGCAGAAAATCTGTGGATAGTGTTACATAGAGATTGGTTGTTTAAGAAGATTTCGGGCTGAACGTTAAATGGTAGGCAGTGTTAAATTAAAAAGTGGCTTGTCAGACTTCCTTGATAGTATTCCTAGATAGTAGCCTAATAGACTATATATCATCTCGTGTACTGCAAGATTAGAATTATGATATTGATCGTCTAGTGACTGTACAGACTCGCCATTATTCTGAGTAAATCCCATGTAAATTAATATTGGATAGATTATATAGAACATCATACGAAATGTTTCGTTTAATAAGGGATAATCCAAGGGATTAGTACACATTTCAGAGCCATGAAAAAAAACGCAGGATATTCTATAACTAATAATCATGGCAACGGGTTTAATAGTATAATTTTGTTTTATCTAATTGGCAAATAAATAACATGTTCATAAGCAAATATGCATTGTAAGCAACTCGTTGGGTGTACGTTAATGTATTCAATTATGTACTTTAAGCCTAGCATGATTTTGGGTACATGTGCATTTGTATCTATTTGTTATGAAATACTGCTCATGCAACATTTCAAACTAACCTCCATTTTTTTTATTAAATATAAGAAATTATATTATATATACATAGTGCCAATACAGTGTTTTGTATAATATGGCCTCACTCCAATAATTCTAATATTAGATAACAATTTTATGGTATACTACTCCTTGGTTTTATTACACACTACGTTTCAACAATCTACATTGTCATCTTCAGGTGAAGTGAGATTATTTCCTTATTCCTCATTATTTCCTTGTTGTCTATATATCATGAATAATAAATATGTTGTCTAGATATCATGAATAATAACTATGTTGACTAGATAGTATGAATAATAACTATGTTGTCTAGATATCATGAGTAATAACTATATTGTCCAGATATCATGAATAAAAACAATCTTGTGTATACAAATAAAAAGATATATTTATATCATGAATAAAACAATATTGACTAGATAGTATGAATAATAACTATGTTGTCTAGATATCATGAATAATAACTATGTTGACTAGATAGTATGAATAATAACTATGTTGACTAGATAGTATGAATAATAACTATGTTGACTAGATAGTATGAATAATAACTATGTTGACTAGATAGTATGAATAATAACTATGTTGTCTAGATATCATGAATGATAACTTTGTTGTCCAGATATCATGAATAATAACAATGCTGTGTATACAAATAAAAAGATACATTTATATCATGAATAAAACAATATTGACTAGATAGTATGAATAATAACTATGTTGACTAGATAGTATGAATCTTAACAATGTTGTCCAGATATCATGAATAATGACTATGTTGTCTAGATATCATGAATGATAACTATGTTGTCTAGATATCATGAATAATAACTAAGTTGACTAGATAGTATGAATAATAACTATGTTGACGAGATAGTATGAATAATAACAATGTTGTCCAAATATCATGAATAATAACAATGTTGTCCAGATATCATGAATAATAACTATATTGTCCAGATATCATGAATAATAACAATGTTGTCCAAATATCATGAATAATAACAATGTTGTCCAGATATCATGAATAATAACTATATTGTCCAGATATCATGAATAATAACAATGTTGTCCAAATATCATGAATAATAACAATGTTGTCCAAATATCATGAATAATAACAATGTTGTCCAGATATCATGAATAATAACTATATTGTCCAGATATCATGTATAATAACAATGTTGTCCAGATATCATGAATAATAACAATGTTGTCTAGATATCATGAATAATAACTATGTTGTCTAGATATCACAAATGAAATACCGTTATTCCATTGGATAGATTGTGATAAAAAGATATTATTTGGGTATAATTTTGAACATATCACATATTTTGTGGAAATGTAGCCATCATCCTATCATAATCATTTTTTTTCTCATGACATTATATTTTATTGTTCATTAATGTTCACGTTGTTTTCTTTCCAGGTATGAACGTTATATACTATTCAACATTCACGTTAGACAATATTTATTTCTAGTGACATGTTCACATAGCCTACACATCTATACCTATATGATGTTCATTTGAAATATATATATATAGTTAAATTAGATCAATAACGCCGATAAAGATAGTTAATTTTTACTGCCAACATTTTCAATTTCATATTTTCAAGGCATAGTCTATATATATATATATATATATATATCACTCTTGCGCTTGTTCCAAGACAAATTTTATTTAACTCAATGATGGATTTCTAAAAGGCGTACTTAAAAGAAAATCAATAATTAGACTTAAATATATATCGAATTTCCATGGAATTTACCTATACTAAGCGTTTGTTAACATTATTATATTACTATAGTCGTTGTAAAAACTTTGAGTTGTTAGTTTGCAGCATAAAATTTTATCACTAAAGTCAAATTTGCAGGAAGTCAACCCAATTTAAAAACTAATCTTTAAAACGTCTATCTGTACTGCGCATAGTTTCAAGTTGACAAAAGTAGTCTACTTAATGCGTTTGTTTCTATTCTCCTGCCCTTTTCTGTCTCCACAGTTGGCTTCCTGTGAATTCTGAATTACTCGAAGTTTTGTTCAGCATTTTAATACATGTATATAGATATCTACTTACTTAGTCCTATTTTTTAAGCTTCACTTTAGAAATAATAAAGCTTGATACGTAGAATTTTTTCAGAAAAATCAGTATTTAAAAATATCATTTCTCTCGTTTATTTGCAAATTTGAATCCTTATTATTATCATAGAAAAAGTGCATTATTCTCTTTCGTCTTCACGAGAACTCACGAGAACCGACTCTGTCTTGAAGTTAGCAGACGGACAACTTCATCCATGCAGAAACCTTCTTACTATTAGTCGGCCATTTTGAATTTCTATTAACTGCTTGTTGTTAGCTATTGATGACATTTGCCAGTGTTTCTCTTAAAGATCATCCAAATATCAATAGAACATTTACACTTTTGTTTCATATTAATAATTAAAAAATAATTTGAATAAGATGAATCAGAGTCTATTTGTATTCATTTTGAACACTGCAATTGTGCAGTCAGCATTATGTTTTAAAACCACTGGCAAAAGTCATCATATTGAACGTTTTTAGTTTTTGCACGATTAACTAAATGTATTTATTTGCAGCATGTGTATTCCTTATTTTAATTTTATCTTTTCAAATTTTTGCATGCTAGTTATTTATATCACCTATGATTGTACTTCAATTTCAAATTTCAAATTTATATATAAATATATATAGAGAACTTTTGTAATTTCATGGGAGAAATTCAATGAAATCAATTGATTAAATTTGGCAGAAACGAATCAGGTGATTATCCTTTTACCAATCATTCCTATTTGCACGAAAGGAAGTTTGGTTGGTCTAATCTTTTTTTTTTTTTTGGAATATTTTGCTCTTGCTTTTTTTAACCTTTGCATGCTTATTAAAATAATTATTTAAAGCAGTTTGGCTTCAAGTTAAAATCTAATCTTTGGTCAGCACTTTTCTTTCAGCTATCTCTTTATTACGACTGGCTGTGCTGGGCATCGGTAGAGCTACAACTATACTCCACCCCATTTACAACACACAGTAATGGCGCTTTCGTTTTGTTTTCTATCGCCGTTGTAAATCTCCTTTTACCTTTCTCTTCAACATCTTTACCCTAATACCCGTGCTTCACGTGTGACGTCACCAATATTGACCAACCACGTGTGATGCACTCCATTAAAGGACATCACACGCCTGTGTCATCATTTCCTACTTTCTCGTTGTATCTTTTATGTTGTTTGGTGTCGTAACCGGAAGTTTGCCTGGACCGTTTCCTACAATTTCTTCACACACTATCTTCTAGCTTCAAGACAATAGACTATTGCTTTCTTAAAACACCCTGACTTTAGTTAGAGATAGATTATTAGAGGAAAATGCACTTAAAACGGCTACTAAACATAGGCTTTTCACCACCATTGGCTTTGTTCTGGATACGGCGATGAACATGAATTGCGCCTACACCGTTACGAAAGCCGTCCCATTTAAAACGTCCAGAATATCTAAATATTGAATGATTTCAAGTTTTCTTTCTTTGTATTTTTTGAAATTAACACAATTTTGCACTGCATAAAATTGAATTAATATAAATGTGATGTATTCCTTATATATGAGATTTTATTTCTCTTTTTTGATGTTGGTTATTGCGACGTTTGCTTTAAATGTGTGAGTTTGTTTAGATATGCCACCAATCGGTAGAACGGTTTCTTACTCTCGTATTTTTGAGGGAGAAAATGTTATATCGATTGTTGGATGGACGTTTTAAATTCAAGCACTTTTCTAAAAAAAAACCTCATTAAAAGATAAAAGTAGGAATTAAAATGCCATAAACGAGAGAAACGAATTAAGAATGCTGTTACCAAAGAGAAGACGTGAACAGAACAAAAAATAGTTTGAAAGAAAGATAAGAGATGAACAGAATAGAGTGTTAAAATATCTTCAACTATGCTTCGTTTCAGGTAGTGGCCATTATTTCTGTCCTGTTCATCGTCTTGTCAACTATAGCCTTAACATTAAACACCATACCAGCTCTTCAAGACCGTTCCAAACCCAAAGAAGCTGCGGACAATCCTCAACTAGCAGTAGTAGAAGCAGTTTGTATCGGCTGGTTCACTCTGGAATATTTAGCCAGATTTTGGGCCTCGCCGAATAAGTGGAAATTTTTTAAGGGCCCACTCAACGTTATAGATCTACTCGCTATAATGCCTTACTTTATATCATTAGGACTGACAGAATCAAATAGGGACACTACAGAACAATTTCAAAATGTACGTCGAGTTGTACAAATTTTTCGTATCATGAGAATTCTTAGGATTTTAAAATTAGCACGACATTCGACAGGCTTACAGTCTCTGGGTTACACATTACAAAGAAGTTACAAAGAGTTGGGACTGTTGCTTATGTTTCTTGCCATTTCTATATTACTTTTCTCTAGTTTAGCATATTTCGCGGAAAAGGACGAACCCGAAACAAAATATAAATCAATTCCTGAGACATTTTGGTGGGCGGCCATTACAATGACAACAGTAGGGTATGGAGACATTCATCCTACGACGGTTTTAGGAAAAATAGTCGGTAGTGTGTGTTGTATTTGTGGAGTATTAGTTATTGCTCTGCCGATTCCTATCATAGTGAATAATTTTGCCGAGTTCTACAAGGACCAAATGAGGAGAGAAAAGGCTTTCAAACGACGCGAAGCATTGGAAAAGGCGAAAAGAACGGGCAGTATCGTTTCCTTTCATTCCATCAACCTAAGAGATGCGTTTGCCAGAGATGTGGATTTAATGGAAGTGAATTCCGGTGGAGGCAAGGGAGATAATCAAGACGGAAGTAGCTCAGACAGTAAAGGTACGAGTCCTCCACCTTGTGTTATCAAGTTTAATAACCAACCCAATTATCAAAACGATGATGTCGAGGGTTGTAATGCAAAAACACTTCATGTAGACAACGACAGCACGAATAATCTGTTGGATGCAGACGAAGAGTCGCTCAAACGCATGACATCATCGCAACCACTGTTAAATTCGCAACCTCAGGTACGTTTCCCTTCATTAGAATGTGCCTTCATTTTATTTTTCAGATTACAATTTATTCATTAATTTTTTGTTATCTAAGCATGTTTTATTTCCCTGTTTTCCCGTTACTGCGCTCTGCCAAAGTTTAGTAGCATTTGGCATGCTTTTTAATTTGCATGTTATGTTTTAAGGCTTTTCGCAATAACGTATGTTTTCTGTCCACTTTCTGGATCGTGTTCAAATAATTATTATTTGCTTTTAGTTCTCCTGTGTTTTCAATAACATGTCATATCTATTTGTGCAAAGGATCATTCTCATCTGACAAGGATCGGCACATACCTATCCCCACTATTTGCTTTCCAACTTATCTGTGATATGTTTTCCTGGACGCATTATTTGTACCTTTACCTAATCTTGTATTCTATTAGGTTCAAAAGGTAAACACTTATTCTATGGTCTCGCTGCAAGGTTATTAATCTTAACAGTGAATACAATCCAACTCAATTTTTAAGAATTCTATCTAAAGAGATTCTTCCCGAAACAGTGATATCATGACCGAGTACAATTACCTTATAACCTTATGGAAACGAGAGTGGTTTCAACGTTGCAAAGCTTGTAGAAAATATATCTCTAACGCCCTGTGTGTTTTGCTGAACTCACCCTATTTGGTTTTACAGGGACTACTTGGTTACTCACAGGACAGTGAAAGCTCAGATAGGATTGAGATGAAACAACTTCACCGCCAGAGCAGTACCACTAGTACGGATACCTATAATAGTTGTATGACCCACCCGCATAATAGCCCCTCCCTTGTAGGGCTGGGCAGCCAGGGTAGCCAAGATCCCCCTCAAAATATTTATATTAACCCACTCGATGATTCCCCCGAAATTAACAACGATGTGCCATGCAATGATTCTTGCGATTCCTTTTATAGTGACCTTCAAATTAGCAGAAACCAAGAAACTGGTTTTAACAAACCAGACGTGACGTTTAGTCCAAAACAAATAGTGCAACCTTTAAATTCGGGCTTATCCACAACCTGGGAACGCAGTGATTCTAATCCATTATTTACACTGCCACCGGACACTGTTTACGCTGTCAGTGCTGACGGCAGGCCGCTATCTCGGAAAGTACACAAATCCAGTTTCAAAAGACATAAATCATTGTCTGTTGAAAAACAGGCAAGGTTTTCGGAAGTGAAAGAAAAGAACTATTCGTCAACGGATAATTTGCATTCGCACAGTATGGGCAAAACAAAAATAAAATTTAGGAAAGCGGTATCGTTGGCTAACCGTCTGCATTCTAGTCCTGCCACGGGACGTAAATTGGCTAACTATCACCTCATAGCTAACACGGACTCAGGTGAGTTCTCGCTTAAACCAATCCATCTTATACCCCCAAACCTTGATGAAATACCAGCAGAAATTGAAAACTTTTCAAAATTTCTAAATTGTAGTAAAGTCTTTCCAACGAATTTTTCGTAACGAATCTCTGGTGATATTTCTGATTGGATTTTCGGATCAAAATATACTTTGACATACGTTTATTGGAAATTTAATTTTTTTCAGTCCCAAAACTTACAACTTTGTTACTTTTCATAGGTCAAAGTATATTTTTTTCCTTGTTCATTTCATAGTTGCCCTTATTAGTTCCCTTACTTTATTTAAATCTAAACAACCAGTATAGTATCAGCTAAGCACATTTCACAGATTGTTTCAACTTCTGAAACTTCTTTTCGGGTCTTGAAATCATTCTCTAACAGATTGCACTTGGTCTTATTGTTTATTTTGAAAACCTATCAAGTTCGGTATTTTTCAACTTTTTAACTCTGCATCATGCATGTAAATTCTTTGGGTGGTTATTTGATACGCCGCTGACAGATCTGAAAGGGTGTTTATCATTCGGTATGCGATAGGTATCCCAAATCAAATTAAGTAAATTTTCAAAAAGAAAACAAAATACTTAGATAGTTGACGTAGAGCACCAATTTTCTTGCAGATGAAAAGTTCCTTCTGAATTAAAACGAGGTGAGTGGAATTCTGTACCCACCAGGGGCCATTTTTCTGGTGTGACCATCAAGAGCAAGTATGACCCCTGTCGGCCTCATGTAGCTTCTAATATCCGTATGTGTTCCTGAAAGAAGTTCTTGAACTGCTGTAGAGAAACATCGTTCCTAATTTAGTACGGTCCAATTTGGTGTTGTAAAGCACAATAGAACTTCTGCCAGGAAAATCACGCTGTATATTTGTTGCCCATCCTGTGTGTTATTGCACTCTATATAAAGTATCATAACCATATAGAATTCAACCAGAAATGGTAGCCTTCGCTTGCTGGTGTGTTGTTTTTGTGGTAGACAGCTTAAGCTTTTGTGTGCTACAGCATCTCACAGCATCACACATCCTTTGTGACTCCGTGATTTTCCCGCTTTGTGTTGGTCACACCAGTCAATGCGTTCCTCCCTCGTTTGTTTGGTACTCTCTATTGGCTTCCTATATTATGCTCTTGACGCTATGGAACGGTCTATTTCTTGTCACTTCCAGACTTCAGTCCACTTTCAATAGTGCGAATTAATTAAAGTAATTAATATGAAAAGTCACGATGCCTGTCAGTGGTGTGTCTGAATGTTTTTAGTTTTTTTAGTTCGTGAGTTAATCATTTGTTTTGTCTGTGGTCCAGCTCTTAGTCCCAGATTTTTACAATCTACACTTTATATCCTGGTATGTCCTACGTGCCTTTTTCATAAAAAAATAACATCACACATTATTTAACCAATCATAAATTGACCAGTTTAAATTTTGTTCCTGTTTTTAACCATAGATGTCGCTTTACTGTGCCTTAGTCGCATTCAAGAGAAAGAAACGAGTTGTTTCAGGCGGACAATATTTCCTTGTAATTAGGCTTGCCACATCCTTTTGGCAAACAGGGAACATTTGCCAAATAAATATGGAGATTGTGTTTCTATGGGCCTGTCAAAACATATAATCTCCTTAGTCCATATCATAAATGTACTAACCATCCAATGGTGAAAGGGAAGCAACTCATGTTGTAGACTGTTGCTTTCGTGTGTGTTTGTGATAACATTTCTGGCATGCTTGTGTATTTGTTCGCTTTAACAACGGCTTGTGTTGTATATCCTATCTGTTTTCAAAATGGCGTGTCTACAAAAGTGCATAATTGTATTGGCATATAATTTGCAATTAACCAGATTTAGAATTTCCATGTTTGCAGGGATCTGTCTTGTTTTATAGCACTATTGTAGAACCGTCTGTCCTCATTAATTAATACTAATTATGCTATTTCCTTTATTGTTATTTAGGACCAGGAACATGGAGCGACCAGGATTTGCGAGAAAACAACACAAACAACAAGCAGTCACCACAACAGCGATCCAGTCCTTCATTACTCACACCTTCCCCGCCGAGAAAAAGAATCCTAGTTAAATCGGATGCTGTGCATCTGGATGACAATTTTTTAGTGTCTTTGTGTCCTGATTACGACAGTGAATTCTCAATCTCTAAGCCCTCAGGAACACGATCTCTCGACATATGTGATAATACGAAAAACCATTTAGGGGACAGCCCTACTCATGTGCAAAATCGCCATTGTCGTAATAATAGGACGCCCAAAGTGCCACAACAAATGACATGTATAAATATAGAAACACGAACTGGTGACGATAATCAACGATTCACTCCGGAAATTACCGATTGTCTGGATGACGACATAGAATTCAGTGACAGTATTGTTATACCGAATAAAAATCATTCTTTACGAACTGCCGATCTATTGCAAGGAAATTATACAGTGCAAAGTGATACCAGTCCTTCGGATAATCTAGACATTGACGAAAGTTACTTAGGATCAATTAATTCTGCTGACTACTCCTATTCAGATGCCAGTGTTTCCGATCCCAATTTCCGAAAATCCTCGCCTTCCAGCGAAATGATAACTCATACGGAAGGAAGCGAGGATCATACTACTGTGAGCTTGTACGAAACAGCGGATTCCATGGCAACGGACAGTGAGACCAACATGGAAATAGTGAATTTAACACCGGGAACAGAATCTCACAACAAACCAAATAACAATGGAAATAATATCGGATTTAACGATGCCAGTGGATAGGAGTGCCAGAAGTAAGTAAAACTTGAGTGACACACTCTTCTAACTTTAACGAGTGAAGTATTGTACGTCCCATAACACTGTTTTCAAATTCAGAACCATCTTCCCTCCAACAATAATTATCCCCGTCTACGAAACCTGGCTGCCCGGCCCTTACCCTACTTGCCCTTTCTTTTCATTCTTTGCATTTATAATTTATTTTATTTTTTCGTGAATTCTATTAAAACTTTGCTAGTTTTTCTCAAGATTTTCTTCAAGAAAAAGGAATCACGAACCTTAATTTTAATTTTTTGACGTTTGAAGGTAAGATTTGGAAAATTAGTGTCAGATGCCTTAACAAAAATTCAAAGCTTTTTTCTTGAAATAAAAAGGAAAAGCTAGAATATCATGCAAAAAGCTTTGAGTCTTTGTTGCATTATGCAATTGCTTTTTTGACAACAAAGTGACAGCCTCCTTAAAACGTGCTTAAACCATTAACTTTACGTTTTAAAAGAAAATAAAAAATACAATTTGACCATCGAATCGCCCTGAAGCAGTGTATTAGTTCATTGGTTCAAACGCCTCTGGCTTGTCTGAATTTTGATGAGCAACGAAATACGTACAGCACACAGAACATGCTCAGTAAACTCGTTACAAATAACAGGATAGCCGATCTTACAAATTTAAAGAGCAATTATACAATTTTAGACATTTCCGAAAGATTTTTCAATCAGAATAATTTCTTGCAAGCAACTTGTCACATTAGTAGTTCTCTATAATTAGACTATAGAAGCTGTAACGTTTCTCGCACCCATGGATTATCTCTACCATAAAACTTACATTACAGGGGGTTGTCGTCTTCTTTTTAGGAACAATTCTTAATTTTTTCAAATTTGCATGCTACAAGAAAATATTTTTGGAAAATAGTTCTGTTCGTGCTTCCTTTCGTTTTCTAGCACTTTACTTTTCTTTTCTCACAGTACCCCATGGCTTTTTGTGATGCACAGTCGCTTTTTGTCTCCACACTTCCATTATTTCAGCTTTTCCACAGTCATATATACATGCTTATGGCTTACATCAACTTCTGCCAACAGCTGCTTTTTGTACGCTTTCTATGTTGACATATTTGCCTTTTTCTTATTCTCTATTTTATAATTCAAACTATCAGTAAGTCCGATTGAATTTCTTCGTTTGATGATATTCTTTATCTGCTAGACAATGTTCATCCACTCATAACTAAATTGCATTTGTTTGGTTGAGTTAAAACAGAAGCATGTTGAGTAATGTAGGTAAGGATACAACGTACACGAATCCTCGTTGTCGAAAACTGTCCATGCATAGTGCTATACAAGATTGAATGATGTGATGGATGTCCTTTACGAGGCACAGCTTACTGATTTCACCTTATGCCACTCTTAGACTTGACTTTTCAACATTACATCCTTTCCAGAGAGTGACGAATAAGACTAAGTATTTGCACATGCTAATATAAATTAATAAGGATATATTTTTTCTTTTTCATTGTGTTCACATCATATTATGAAATTTATTTTATTTTTTCAGAAAAATATGGATTAAGGCGTCACCTTGATGATTTTTTTTAATCTGTGGATTAATAGACCTAGATGACGGTATAAACAAAGCAGGGTTATCAATGCTTCCAAAAAATTAATATCACGTGACGTGTGACGTGATGATGACTTTTCAAAGCAGCTTCCACGTGAACGTTAGTGATGTAAAAATGACCACGTTGTTAAAACTAATGGTCTCATTAGCC